GCTTCCCAGAGTGCTAGGACTACAGGAATGTGCCACTATATCCAGCTCGTCATTATTGTAGTCGTTTCCTGTAAATCCACCAGTCAGTAGGATAAAGTAAGGGTTTCTCTTTATAGTTCCTCTTAAGCCTCTTTCTCAAAACAGCTTGGAAGAAGAATAAAACCAAACCAAAAAAGTAGGATTTTTCCTGTTAGATATAATGGTAGCAAGTAGATGTATTAAATTAGTTCTAATTGAAGGAAATTTTTAAGTTCATTGAGCTGAAGACATCCCTGAGATCACAAGTGAGATACAAAGTAATAATTCACATTTAGGTTGATTACATATTCAAAGTGGTATTGTGCTGGGTTACAGAACACACCCTTGGGAAACAAGTTAACAGTATTGGTGCTTTACAGCAGTGGACAAAATCCAAAGCCGCGGGGGCAGGTGCTCTAGGCTTGAGTCCTAGATTCTCTGTAGTGGGTGTCTTTTTGACTAATAGCCTGAACTTTCAAAGCCTTACTCTCTCCACCTGTAAAGTGGAGATAATAGTATTATTGACAGACTCTGTAAGGCCATTGTGGGTGTGAAACAGCCATGAATTTGAAACATCTGATTCCTTGGTGTACCTAACAGATTTGTTATAGATACTAGTTTTTAACGCTAACTCCAGTTTTGGTTAAAGTCATATTAGAAAGAGTGTACCTGGGTGTGTAACCTCGGCTCTTTGAGTTGCTCTGAGTGCCTGAGCCATTGCTTTATGTCTCTGAGACATTGTCCCTGACACTCACAAGTAGAAGTAGCAGAGGTTTCTTTTGGTTTATGGTACTTAGAATTCAGTTCACTAGGGAGCTGGCTGTCAGGCAGGAAGGGCAGGGTAGAAGGTTCTGGCAGAGGACAGCCACACACGCCCTGGCATCCTGCAAGCCAGGGAGTTGGGGAGGGGCTAAGGCAGAGACCCACCTGCTGGGCACACCCCTGGAGACCCGCCTCTTCAAGCCAGGCCCCGCCTCTTTAGACCAGGCCCCTCCTCTTTAGGTCAGGCCCCACCTCTTCAGGCCAGGCCCCGCCCACCTCCTACCTCATAGCCGGTTAGTCCACCGCCATGATCCTTCTAATAGCCACACCTCTGAGCCCAAGGGGTTTGGGGGGAACATTATAGATCTAAACGATAATATGTAACTACTTTATATAGTGCGCTAAATAGAGCAACGGTAAAATTACTGTTGGCATAGTAAACACAATAGAATACATTGGGCAACAATCACTTCTGTTATCCTTTAACCCTTGAGTACTTTTTAGAACTTTCAAGTAGTACACATTCAGAGAATGACATCGATAGCTTTACTGTTTTTCCACATAGATCAGCTTTCTGAGGCACTCACAAGTCTATAGTTTTGTCTCATTTTTGCCATATTCTAGCCAATCTGGGCATTTTAATTTTTTTAAAAATCTATCTATCTATCTATCTATCTATCTGGTACAGGATCTTCTACACAGCTCAGACTCTTAGTGATCCTCCTGTCTCAGCCTCCCCAGTGTTAGGATTACAGGCCTGCACCACCCCACCTGGTTTCAGTGCAGCATGGTGCACCCAGGGTTCTGGGGCCAGCATATCATGTGGTAGTGGGGATTGAACCTAGGTCCTTGTGCTTGCCAGGCAGGCACTTAGGCTGCTGAGCTATCTCTCTAGCCCCAGTGTGGTCATTTTCTTTTTAGTCTGTCCTGATAATTATAGAAGAATTACTACTATATTTTTATTTTTCCATTTCTCAACTGGGGCCTCCGTGATACATTAGGAAATACGTGGGGATACAGGAGATAAGCCTAAAAGTGGAGACTGAGTGTATGCCTTTGGGGTGGACTACCACAGCATCACTGTTATTTTAAATATATCTTTCAGCAACTGCTTGGCAGCGTGATATGAAACAATAAGATGCTGAGCTCAGAGATGAACTTGGTTCAGGCTCTTTCTTTTCTTCACCATTGCTCAGTGTCCTCAGAGCCTCACTTAGACCCCACCTGCTCCCCTCTGAACTGGGCCAGTCCTTACTCTGCCACTGATGGGGAGGACTAGAAACGGAGTTGGGCGTGGAGACTGGAGCTGGGTGCAGAGTTCTCACCACGCAGGTGCTCAGCAGTGGAAGCATGAAAACCAGCACCCACAATAAGGCAGGTCCTTCTTGAGAGATATAAAGGAAGACTCAAGAAGCCAGAAGACAGAGGAGGATGACCGGACGGGCGGACAGGGCGGTTTTCCGGAGGAGAGAGTGGGGTGGACTCACAAGGCTGGGGAAGTACCTGACAGGCCCTGGAAGCTGGATGTTGTGCCTGTGCGAGCTGCTGGCCTTCAGGACTTGTCCCAGTGGCCTCCTGGTAGTGTGCGCGCAGGTTGAAAGTGCGATTGAGATGTCTCTGATAACATCAAACCAGCATACCACTTCCTGGTTTTCCTTTAGTTACGTACATGCTTTTCCGGGAAAGCATTTTGTGGAGGGGCAGCCAGTGGCAGAGGTCCTCTCTGTGGAGACGCCTGGCACCTATATTATTTCATGCTTTTCCTTTTACAAAACTGCAGATTGGGTCCAGGTGGTGGGCCTGGCTCAGACTTGACTTCAGATCCGTTGAGGCGTTTTCCCCGTCAAAGGCTTGTCCCTGAATAGTTTCAGAGTCAGCAGCACTTGCAGTGGTACTCAGAGTGCTTTGCTAATCTCCCAGATTCCTTTCTTGCTTTCTAACTTTGCTGAATGAGAGTGTGGGTTTTCGTGTGTGTGTGTGTGTGTGTGTGTGTGTGTGTGTGTGTGTATTTGATGGTACATGGGTATTGAACCCAGAGCCTTTTCCTTGAGCTACTGCATCCGATGCTACTTTGAGAAATAAAACAAAGCAGCAGAAAGTCAAGGTGCAGCAATGAAGTAGAACACATTACAGAGGTGGTCAGGATGAGTTAGAGGCCCTGTGTGTGTGTGTGTGTGTGTGTGTGTGTGTGTGTGTGTGTGGTGGAGGCTGGAGACCTCTCTTAAAACAAAGTTTCTCATTGAAAACAAAACAGAAGAGATGGCGTCCACTTAAAACTCAACAAAGAAACTATGACACATAGTGCTGAGGCAGCACAAGTCAGCCTTCAATACGTAGGGAGCTCTGCGCGGCTGTCTCTCTGAGGTTTCGGAAGAGGGTTATCGTAGAAAGATTCACTCTCTCAGAATTCACTGGTGGAATCTCACTGTTGGGATCATTCATCAGTTTGCAATCAACTCAGGTCCTTTTTCTGTCTATCCAGGGCTGTGATGGCAAGCCTTTTAGAAACGAGAGCCCAAACTGTACCTCAAAACCTACTTATTGATCACAAAGTCCCAAGCCTGCAGTTAAACCTGAATACTGAGATTTTAGGTTAGAAAAATGACTCATACATGAATGTCTTTCATTTTAAAAGCAAAACACTACCACGCATGCTGTGGGTTCCCCACCACTGATCTGGGGTGTTCACACCCCAGAAGATCCCTCCTTTGATTTCCACAGCATCCCATGAGGTTAGGAACTGTTCTTTCTGCAGGCCATTTTGTAGATGAGGAATTGGGGAGGTCAGGGACTTGCTTTTCATGGGGAACCCAGTTGCCATTTGCTTTGTTGCCATATTTGTCTAAGTTGAGATCAAGAAATGAAGGTTGATCTGCAATAAGGGTGGTTGCTGTGGCTTGTATGCTTCATGTTTGTGAAAGTTCCAAAGAGCCAGAAGCCTTGGACTTGTGTATCCAATTGGTACGTGGCAAATTCTCTTTGACTTTGATACTTTTTAAAAAAATTTTATTTAGTATAGGGTCTACAGGGTTTCACTACACAGATTGGACTTGTAGTGATCCTCCTGTTTTCAGCCTCCCAAGTGCTGGGATTACAGGTGTGCACCACCATGCCCAGTTTCAATTGCTGAGACTCAGTGCACCCTGGGGGTGGGGCCAGCAGGGCATACCAGGGATAGAACCCTGGTTCCTACATTTGCCTAAGCAGGCACTTTAATCCACTGTGCTATTTGGCTGGTTCTTTGACTTTGATCCTTTGATTCTTTGATTTTACTTGATTCAATAAATATTTCTTGTAACTGGCTCCTTCCCTAAGTTGGCATCTGCCGTCCTCACCAGCTCTTGGAGTGGTGATTCTGCTTGGTGCCAGGCCGAGAGCAGAGTGGTCCCTGTCTCTCAGTGCTTGCTCTTGTCCCATCAGCTGTTTGGAAGGCGCTAGCTTGAAAGTCATCCAGAGTGAGACCCAGTCTGCTCATTTTCCTGCTTGTACCCAGATCCTCACTGTGGCCGTCTCTCGCCTCCACTGTTCTGACAGCTCACTTGTGTTCCTGCTCTGGGCCCCGTCACCATCTCTTTTCCACAAAGAGACAGGAACCATTCTTTCAGTAGCCTGATCCAACCTGTGCTGTTCTTCCCATTTTGCTGGGAGTGAAACCCTGGTGTCTCTGCCTCCTCAGCCTCCCCTCCCAGCACCTTGCTCTGCTCCAGCACCTCTGGCCTGTGTGTACTCTGGGCCTGCATGTGCCCCACAGCTTTGCATCACTTCTGCATAGCTACCCATCCTCCAGCTGTTCTGTAGCTAACTCCCTTGATCAGTGCCCTTGCTGGCCACATATAGAAAGCCAGCCTTCCAGCTCTGGGTCCCCCTGCACTCGCTTCCTTTTTCCTTTAGTGCTCTTTACTACATCCATCCATGTCCACTTTCACTGCCCTGTGGGTCTCCCATTGTGGAGATGGCAGGGGCCCTGTTTCTTTCACCACAGAAGTCACCGTTTGCAGGGCGATGCCGGGCCTGCAAGTCATGCTCAGTAAGGCGCATAAATCCTGTGAAAAAGTACAGTATGAAAGTATTTTTTTGCAAGGTTCAAAGTCACCACTTGAAATGGAAATACAGCCATTCCTGCTGATCACATACTTCTGAAGACCTCCTGCTGCAAAGTTTTGGATGATAGCGGCAGAGTCATTCTAGGTCTTTGTCTCCTACTCTTCTGTTGCTTGTAGGATTTACAGCTTTTAAAAGACGGGGACCTGACTGTGATAGGAGACCGGGGAGCCACACTGAGCGGAGGGCAGAAAGCACGACTGAACCTCGCAAGGTAAATTGCTTTTGCGCGGCCATCTGCCTGCACTGGGGGAACCGGGAACTTGCTCCCTGGATGCTTCCACGGGAACCCTTGGTTTCGGGTTACCCCGCTGGTGCCAATAATTTTGACCATCCCTTCGGTGCATGTCCCCAGGAGAGGGAAGGATTCTTCTAACACCTCTTTTGGTTTCTAGAGCTGTCTACCAAGACGCCGACATCTACCTCCTGGATGACCCACTCAGTGCAGTAGATGCAGAGGTTGGCAAGCACCTGTTCCAGCTGTGAGTGCACTTGTGTCTTTTGTCTTCTCTGCGTTCAGGAGCCCTTCGGGTGGGGCAGGAAGGGCTGTGTAGCTTCAGAGGATTCCCCCTGCCTCGTGCCCTTCTCCCCTCACCCTACCCCTCGCAGAAGATCCATTTACAGCAAACTTTTGCTTGAATGCAAGGTTGAGGTAAGAAGAAGATAATGGCAGCGTGTCGCAGAGAGCTGCACGTGCAGTAGGGAGTGAGGAAGTAGAGAAAAGTTGGCAGGTTTTTGCCTTGGTCCTTGCAGTTGATAACTAAGACCCTGTAGATGGATTCAGAGCCCGGGAATAAGAAAGTGGGCAGGTTTTAAACCAAAGGATGGGACGTGGCAACCTGGTGCTGGACCTGTAGTTCCTCTGTTGTTTGTGTTTGGTGAGTGAACAGTGAGGTCTACAGTACTAATGTTGGGCTTCTGGGAAAAGCCTTACTGGTTTGTGCTTATTAGTGTGCAGGTTTAGAAATAATTAGTAAAGCTAGAATTTAAGAATGATTTGTCCATATTAATGTGGTTTCACAAACATACTTTTTTATGGATTTTGACTACTGTTAATGCACAAGGTTGCAGCTGGCCAGGGTTAGCTTGTACCTGAAGCTGGGTCTCTTGGATCTGCATGAATTATTCACTCTTAATATTCTTGCAGTTTGTTTTCTTTGCTGTTGCTTAGCCACTGAGCCAGTGAGGGAGAAGACTTTGGAGCCTTTTCCATGTGTGCTGTCACCCAGCGCATGCAGATGGACACTTGCTGTGTGTTCTAAACTGGCCTTTGAAAGCACATGAACGTGACCTGATAAAGCAGCAGCCACATCTGTCCCGCAGTGCGCCTTCTGTTTGTGCTGCCGAGCCCTTTCCTCTGCACTGATGGGCCCCCTTCTGTGTGCACTGAGACAGACGTGCTGACAGGCGTCCTTGTGCAGTGCATCCTGGTTTGCCAGGAAGGGGACAGTAAGCCTCGCCGAAGTTAAGAACCCACGCTGGGCAGAGTAAATGAGACAGATAAGTTTAGATCTCATCTCGTTTTACCCTAAAGAGTTTTCTCTGCATGGATTGCATCAAAGCACAGTCTCAAGAAAGCTCAACATGCCCGGGCATAGAGGGTTCCGTGTAGGGGGCCTGCCTGTGCTGCACTAGAGGAATAGGCAGCCTTAGGCATTCAGCTGGAGTCTGGAGGCTCGGCTTGTGCTGGTTTCCGTGGGGAGTGGCCTGTGGCTTTGTGGGTTCCATTGGCGAGGTTTAGAGAGGCTGGGAGTGGATGTCAGTTCCTTCTGGTGAGGGAAACAGTAAAGGTGGAGGAGATGCTGAGATGGCAACAAGCAAGGCACAGGAAGAGAGAAGCGAGCCAGCAAGCCTCCCCCAAGCAGATCATGGAGGAAGGTGTGTGGAGATGCTACTGGTGTGCGCCTGTGTTGTGCTGCGCAGGCTGCCAAAGCCAATTCCACAGACAGGGGTGGACTGAACAGCAGCAGTGTGTGTGCTTGCAGTTTTGGAGGCTGGAGGACTGAGGTCAGGGTGTTAGCTGTGGTGGTCCCTCTTGTTGACTTGCCGTACTGCTTTCTTACTGTGTTCTGGAATTCTTCCCTCTGTCTGTGCCTGGTTCAGAGTTCCCCTTCTTGTAAGGACACCGGTGAGGTTGGACATCTCCCCCGCAGTCCACACCCTTACTATAGTTTAATTAGCTCTCTGAATGGCCCTGTCTCCAGATGACAAGGTGATGGGGCTGGAGTTCAACATACAAATCCGAGATAGGAGCATTCAGTCCATCCTAGGTCCTAGGTAGCAAAATGACAGTAGCGATTCGAGCAGCGGGGAGGAAGAACACAGTTCCAGGCTCTGGCTTCTGGGGATTGAGGTCATCTGCTAAGTGTGGTACTTGGTGGAGGGATGGGAAGGGCAGCTGAATGTTGCCCCAGCAGAATGGGGACATAGAATATGCCTGGTATTGGGGTGATGAAAGAATTTTGGGAGTGGATGGTGTTGGTAGGCCTTCCTGGTGGAGCGCTGCAGCAGAGCCTCTTGGGAGGAGAGAGGAAGGCACGCTGATCGCTGGGTCTCCGTATGCATCTCAAGGTGCTCCCCAAAGTTTCCCTTTAGACGTGGAGGTGTTTATAAAGTCCTTTCGCACCTTTAAGGCTTAATGACTTTGGATATACATTTGATAGAAGCAAGCTTGTTAAAATTGTTGTTTGCTAATCAGAACCACATTCTTTGGGGAAACTTAGAGCAGGGAGCACGAATGCAATTTAGGAAATCACTCACCAGCAACTGGAGAATGTTCTCAGCGAGTTAGAAAATTGGATCGAACAATATACTATGAACGATGGCGGTTGTGTTGAAGCTTAGAAATGTGAAGTGTTTTGTATTAAAAGTGAATGAATTGCACTTCTGTTTGCCATTAACAGTTCTACGTCAATCATGAATATACATCCAAGGTTATTAAGGGTTGTGAGTTTTACAACTATATGTTATGAACTTGAAGTGGATTCTATCTAGTATGGAAAGCTAGGGGCTCCTAACTGATGGCTGGTCTGTAACTACCTATGACTCGTGTCATATTTTAGAAAGCTTCAAATTCCCAGGCCCCTGTCTCTCCTGCAATCAGTTCTTCCAGGTTGTTATAATGAGATCTCCCACATTGCTGCCTGCTTTACTCTGTTTAGGCTGCTGTGACAAAATACCATAAGCTGGTGGTTTATAAACAACAGAAATTTATTTCTCATAGTTCCAGAGGCTACAGAATCCAAAATCCGAGTGCCAGTACCTGAGGTATCTATGGACCACACCACTGTTCTTGCTTCATCCTTAGGTGGTTAATGGAACATGACGCATCCCTTGGGCCTCCCATCCCTTGGGCCACGGCAGATCCCTCGTCCTTCTAGGGACACCGGTTCCATCCTTGAGTATAGGTCCCCAGCAAGAGGCCCCAGCTCCTCACACCATGCCATCACAATTTCCATGTGCAGATTCCAGGAGGGTCAGAAGCATTCAGAGCGTAGCAGTCATTCACCTTCATTGTTTCAGCCCTTGGTGGACTCCCCCTCCCACTCAGGGTGCAGTTCAAAGTCCTCAAGTGGCCAATGAGCTCTTGGCCCGCTCACTGTCCCACTCTTCCTTGCACACACTGACACTGCAGCCGTGCCACCTGCCCATTCTCCGGTCTCCCAGTCTGCAGGGTGTGCACATACCTGTTTCAGAGCTGGGGGAGCCTTTTGTCAGGGCAGAGGAGAAAGAGGACAGGTGCAGATGGGCCTGCGGTTCTTGCTGGCTGCCCCGGGCCCTCAGAGAGTGGTGCCGCATCACGTCTGTGCGCCTGTCCCCCACCCCCACTCAGTGCAGGGCATGCAGAACCTTCCTGACCTGCAGGGTCGCCTGTGTTAACAGAGAGGTCATTCCCGACAGATTGCTCCCCTGTAGCAGCTCTCACTGAGCTTTCCTCATAGCCTGCATCACAACCCACCAGTACATTTGCCATTCGTACTGTTGTGTCTCTTGTCTGTGTTGTGGGGTGTTGTCTGAGCGTGTACCCTGTGTCACCGCTGGACAGGTGTGTATCAGCTCATATAATGGACAGGCTTTCTTCACTGCAGAGGAGGGCCTTGGTGGCTTGGGTGGGTGTTCTTATTTGTAATCTCCTCTACCACGGTGTTGTCAGCTCTGAAGAGCCCTTGATAGGCTAAGCATTAGAAGATGCATTGCCAACCTGATTGGTATTTTTGTGGTTTGGTCAGGCACAGTGATACAAGGCTATAATTATAGCTATTGAGGAGGCTGAGGCAGGAGGATCACTTGAGCTCAGAGTTTGGAGCCAACATGGATATATAGTGAGAACTTATTTCTTTAAAAAACAAATAAGCAAACAACCAAACACTTCTAATGTCACAACTTGGGGCATTTTTAGTACTAATAATTTAGAAAAGTTTTTTTTTCCTGGAAATTTTGAAAAATACATGACTTAGGCACAAATTAAAGCCAACTATTACAGTATTGTAAATATTTATATTATCTTGTCCATGATATTGGGAAGGAAACATTTTGCTGCCCTGGACTTGGTCTTCCCCATCGTACTCCTTTGGTTATTTATATAAAGGGATGAATGGCAGGTAATTTTGAGTTAAGGAGGAAGAATTCCTTTACAAGCTTGAGTTCTGTATCTGAAGAAGGGCTTAGTAGGTTGAAAAGTTGAGCTTGAAATAATTCATAGTAGGACTTTTCCCCAGGGAATAATAATCCCTTTGGATGGAAAGAAGGAAGGGACAGTTTTGGCATGTGCAGTCTGCACCCCTGGCTCTGGCCAGAGGTGTGCATCATCCTCACGTTGGAAACAGCCTAAGGAGAACAGCTGCCTGACATCAGTCTGCCTTTCCTCCATTCCAAATACCAGAAAAACAATTAGTATTTTAATTAAGTCAGGTTTTATTTTATTTTATTTTATTTGCGGAACCAGGGATTGAACTCAGGCCCTTGCGCTTGCCAAGGAGCGCTTGTTCCACTGAGCCATCTCCCTGGCCTAAGTCAGGTTTTAGAATCTCAGTATTGCTAACCTGTTTTCATCATGAAATATAAAGCTGCGTTTGTATTTCGAAGCTGGCATCCCCTGTGCTGGACTGTTTTGTAGAATTTGCTAGCAGAGATGCAAGACTCAGATTTTCTGCCAGAGAATACGGGTGCCTAGTTAGCTCCACGGACTACATCCGGATTGAATTTGCGTTCCCTTCTGTATTTCCTCTATGCGTCCGTGCCGCCTTGGGCACGCTGTGGTCTGAAATGTACTTTTCACTTTGGAGCACCTGTACTAACGTGTGTTTCACGCCGGGCTTGTTATACTCACAGGTGTATTTGTCAGACCTTGCACGAGAAGATCACAATTTTGGTGACTCACCAGCTGCAGTACCTGAAGGCTGCCAGCCACATTCTGATACTGAAAGACGTAAGTAATTCCGAGACCCCTACTGCACGGCCTGCTCTTGGTGTGCGAGGAAAGCGCCTCTCAGCAGGTGGCCTCCTGTGGGCTTCTCTGGAGACTCACTCTTCTGCTCAGCTTTGTTTCCTGCTCTTAGAGCTGGGGTTCACGTCCTTGCAAAGGAACTTAAAGGACTTATGGAAATGTCACTGTTACAGTCTACGACGCGCCATCCTAAAGTCTATCAACTTGCTAAACTACAGCTACTACAGTGACGTTGTTAATAATAGTGCTTTGTTTTTTGCAAATTTGTCTCCTTTTTCCATGACTCAAGCCAAAGGGCTTTATTTGGAAATTACAGGCGTAAGACATGTTTGCATCCATCTGGTAGTTACCCACGGTTTGCTGAAAGAGCATCTTCATTAATTACATTGCTGTGGCTGTGTGGCCAACTCTCACTACACAGGTCCTGTCCGTGCCTGATTGGGCCACAGCCCGCACAGCTGTTAGGACGACAGAGCACTCGCCTTGTAGGGCCTCCCTTCTTCCCTTCTTGCCAGGGTGGATGCTGTGAAGGGGACAGTTGGCCACGGGGAGCTGAGGGACAGGACAGGAAGGTGCCTGTCATGCTGTCAACTTGGGCGAGGGGCATCTGACACAGGCAAGCTGGTGGCCCCTTCCTGAGGAAGGACGTCCCCAGGACCTTTAGAAGGATTCAGGGCCATGGGCTGAGTGAGTCAGGGAGGCTGGGGAGGGAGGCAGGTGCCCCAGGCCATGGGCAGGAGCCCTGGCACTGCGATGGAAGCTGTTGTTGGGACCAGAGCAGGAAAGTGATATGGGCTGATTTGTTATTTTTTCTTTTTTTTCTTTAAATTGTACTAGGGATTGAACCAGGCCCTCTGCACTGAGCTACATCTTCAGGAGTCTTTATTTTTTTATTTTGAATCAAGGTCTCCATAAATCACTGAATTACCCAGGCTGGGCTCAAACTTCCAGTGCTCCTGCCTCAGGCTCTCCAGAAGGCTGAGATTGGGAGTCACTGTGCCCGGCCTGATATGTGACTTCTAAAAGATCCCTCCTGGTGTTCAGTGGAGGGGCCACCGAGGAGCAGAAGTCTTCGTGGTAGGGTGCAGCGGTGTGCGCGTGGCTGAGGGTATCACTTTGATTGGCTACCAGGACAGAGGGGCACAAACCTGGCGATGTCAGCATCAGGGCGTGATTGCCTCATGCTGTCGGAGCCCTCGAGTCTTAAGTCAGGACCGTGCTGGGGCCGTGCTCCCTATGGGGGAGACCTTCCTTGCTGTCTGCTCTTTTGAGGGCCAGCTTTAACTACTAACCACTCCAATTATGTAAATGCAGGATGCCTACAAATTGCATGTCTTGGTTAATTTTTATAAGATAATAGGAAATGTAAAAAATAACAATTTTATCAAATATAGTCAAAATTTTTTCTGTGTTTGGTAAATCTTAAAATATTCAGTATGCAACTCAGTGTTACAATCTGGACAGTGTGTCTAGTCTCATTCCAAATTCTTTTAATGTTATTGTCTTTCTTTGAACTGCACGCTTTGCATTGTCTTGTCGGTCTTGCCTTTTTTTTTGTCTGTCGGTGGCATAGTTTCAGTAAAATGTCTACGCTAAATGCAATGGTGACAACATCAATGACGGATGTCCTGGGTGGTGGGTCACTAGCCCATATTTTCAGTTATTTGGTCTATTAGACCTAATCTACATTGTAAATGGCCTTTTGAACCCTTTAATAACAAACGAGTTCCATATTGTTTGGCCCAGAAGGTGCATATATATTGTACAATACCTTTTTCTTGCTTGTAGTATGCATGCTAGCTTGTTAGATGTTGGTCAGCTGTATCAATTCCATCCAAAGAATTATAGTCACTGACCACCACCAGGATGATCTGTTTCATTTCTTCTTTCAAGTTTTATCACTTCTGTATTAGGAGTAGTTGACAGTAAGGAGAAGTCTCTTTGTCTTCCCATTTCCTAACACAGGCTTTTCCTCTCTAGTATGCTAACATTTCTCCCTTATGCAGTGTTTTCCTTTGTAGATCTTTGAGCTCCTCCTTCCTGTTCAGTCTCAGTGTCCCAACATATTGTAAAAGAATATCACTGGATTTTGGAGAAGTCTAAGAATTATATCTAATGTACTTATGATAGGCCTTTATAGATTGTAGCACAAAACTAAAGGTGGCTTTTCACAAAATGAACAAATTAATAAAAGACAGCAATTACTAGATTTTACTGGAAAGGAACATGAAAGGCAAATGCAATGTTCTGAATAGAAATAGTATGCAGAAAGTAGTTGATGTGAAACAGACAGTTTATCTTGTGTGAACAAGAATCCACTGGTAGAAGCGACACCTGCCCAAGGATGCTTGGGATAGTCAGCACATAAACACGCTGCCCGAGTGACCCTCAGGATAAGCTGTCACGCAGCTCATGTTCTTTGACTTGCAGCTTTGGTACCTGCTGTCTGCCTTCCATGTCACTTGGGCCGGTCTGTGTCCATCAGGATTCTTCTAAGGATGTCATTCATGTTGGGCTTAAGCCTCACAGACTCCAAAATGATTCCGTTTTAACTTGGTCACATCTTCAAAACTCCAATTTCCAGATAAGGTCACATCATTCACCCATACTAAGAGTTAGGACTTGAACATAACTTTTTGGGAGCCACCATTTGACCTGCCACAAGCTACCTGCTTTGGGAAGGTGCAGGTTAGTGTGCCTTTGACAGGTGTGGGGATGGCTGGATGCCTGGCTGGCTCCTTTGCCTGTATGCCCCACACCCCTGCCCTTACTGCTCACCCTTGCAACACGCCCCGGCTTGCACCCCTCATGTTTGAGAAGCCATCTCCTTAGGACCCTCAAATGTTTTAGTATTTCCTCTCTGTCTTCATCAGCACTGAGTTATCACAGTGAAATGACCGAGACAGGTAACTTTATGAAGAGTTCATTGAGCTCTCAGTTTCTGAGCTCTAGGGATGTATTGCCTGCATGGGCCTGGCTCTGGCAAAAGCCCTCCCAGCTGAGGTCACCCCGCCTCACAGAGGGCATGTGTGAGAAGGGCTGACGTTACTGCCAAACAGGAAGTCAGCAAGACTGAAGTCCCACCCTTCTTTCTCAGGGCACATCCTGTGACCTTAGGGCCTGCCCGAGGCCCCCTCCTGAAGTTCCCACCCTCCCAATGGGGCCACCCTGGACACCAAGCCTCTAATCACAGTGGACCTTTGAGGAACACAACCATATCTGAACTCTCATACCCTCCCACAGCCTCTTGGTGAAAAGGTGGAACTAGCAAATAATGAATACTGACTTCAGCGTACAACCTCTTGGAGCACTTTCTCAGAAAAAAGTAAATTTCACATTACTGCAGCCACCAGGATATACAGTGACAGCATAGCTCTTGCAAAAGTCTTGAAGTGCTTTCTTAATGCTGAGTGTGGCTTTTAAAGAATAGTGAGGAACCTGTCAATCAAAGCTCCATCAAGTGACTTCTTGCCCCAAGGAGGATTATAAAAGGCAGAATTTCTGCCTCTTCTGAAGCATCTCTGTGTGTCAGCTCTTTCCACTTGCCCCAGGAATAGGGAGCTCAGAATCCTCAAACTTGAAAACAATTTCTTGCATAGAGGGCTAAACTAGGGTGGCCAAAGCTGGGGATCAGTAACTTTACAAGCACAGTCAATTATGCTGGTGTAGCCGGGTTGCTGGTCCTCTGATGGGGGCTGCTTTGGGATCCTGCATCCTGCTTGGTGTGAGGACGCCTCCCACTTTGAGTACTTCCACAACAGCCATTTGTCCACTGTCTGATACTGGGAACACTGGGACCCCTCCTTGCTGCTGGTCTGGCCCTTCTCTCGCAGCAGAGGGGGTCGCAGCCCTCCAGCCCCTCTTGAATGGTTAGCATCTGGCTTTGGGAAAACTGTTCTCCCAATATCCTCCTACTACATTCCTCGAATATCTTCTGGATGCTAAGTTAACTTGATGAAATAAGTGTGTGAATTTTACTTCTTAAGTGGAATAAGACAAAGCATATGAGGAATCATCTTCTAATTCTCCAGTTACCAGACTGTTACAACTGAAAGGTGCCAGGGATTTTCCTCCCTGACTACCTTGCGGTGGGAGGCAGAGAGAATCCTGGGTCACCTTCTCCCACCTGACCTGTCTCAGTCCCAGGGCTGCTGTCCGTTGCTTTGGTTTGAGTCCTAGGATTTGCCTAATATTTTGTTTGTGGCTTTTTAAGTAAGTCAGCTGGATTTTACGACTTCATGGGGTGAAAAAATAGTCAAGGGATTTACACTTGAGGTTTTTTTTTTTTTTTGTAATGGGAAACTGGATCACGTGGAATGTTGTATTTTCAATTTTGAATTTCTCGAGTTTGGGAGGCCAGTTTCAGAATAAAGACCATGAAGACACAGCTCATGGGGTCTGTGTCCAGGGCTAGCACACACACGTTCTTGTACCAGAGGGGGCAAGCGAGCAGGTGGGGCGTGGTAAGTGATTCTTCCATCGATAGGCTTGTGTCCTTCCCTGCCAGCCAAGTTCTTCCCTTTGGAATCACCTTCCCAATTTACTCTCTTCCTTCAGATTTTACTGCAGGACACTTACCTCAATTTCCATATTCTCCCAAAACAGGGACTGCCACCATCGTATCTACCCTTTTGCTTCCTTAAATGCTTGTGATCACTCACGTCAGTGGCCTCCATCCTTATCACTGGATCACATATTTCATTAAGCACCTCAGTCAGGATTTGGTAGAACATGGTGTTCAGTGAGGTGTTATTGAATTATACCATATTTGTCAGCTGGGATTCAGATGATCATAACTTAAGACTAGTTAACCTTTTTATTTTTATTAGATTGGCCTGGATTAGTAGTTTCACATGCAAATGTATTCCTCTGAAATTTTTAATGTTGATTTTAGGGAGAAATGGTGCAGAAGGGAACTTACACTGAGTTTTTGAAATCTGGAATGGATTTTGGTTCCCTTTTAAAGAAGGAAAACGAGGAAGCAGAGCAAACTTCAGTTCCAGGGACTCCAACGCTGAGGAATCGAACCTTCTCGGAAGCTTCCATTTGGTCTCAACAGTCGTCTAGACCCTCCTTGAAAGATGGCCTTCCAGACGGCCAAGATGTGCGTTTACCTGTCATTACCTGACTTGGGGCTCTTGGGGGCCCCAGAGTCTTTGGTCTGCTGTGCTCATGGTATGCTCCTGTGGCTCTGAGATTCTCTTTATATCTAGAAGGTTAATTTGAAGACCCCTTAGCCCCTGCCCTGCTGTGGCCTACATGAAGTCAACCACTTTTATGAGTCGTTGACATGTTCTGTCAGTGCAGGGAGCTGATGGCACTCTTTTGCCCTGTTTTCAGATGTAGACCAGGAGCCCTGCTCATTCTTCTATCATGATTGACGCTTCAGAGTTAGTTCCTATCTTTTCTTTTTCTTATTCTTGAAATCTGAGAGCTATATCTTAATTCATCTCAGATGTCTGATGGTCAGCATAGGGTCAAGAACATCCTTAATTTGTGTGAATTTAAATTTATTATAAGTTCTCTAGGCAGAAATGCAGGAGACCTCCCTATATAGTAGAGTTACTGCTTAGTATTGGTAGGGGATAGATTCCAGAACTCCTGGAGATAACCAAACCTGAGCACGTCCAGATCACTTGTATAAAGTAGCATGACATTTGTGTATGACCTGTGCACATCTTCCCATATACTGTAAGCTATCTCTAGGTTACTTTAATACAGTGTGGGTGCTAAGTAGTTTTATATTGAAGGATTTAAGAAATAATGACAAAATAATAAAGGGTGTGCATAGTCAGTTCAAGAACAGTATTTTCCCCCTGGGCATTTTTGATCCACACTACAGAACCTACAGTGCTGGAATCTCAGTGTATATGTGGAAATTCCTCACCATCCAAATCCTCACTGTCCCAATTGAGGATCCCGGATGATTGTGTTACACATGACTGGTGGTAGCTCTCCCTACTAGCCAAGCTCATTACCCGGATGTACCATTTGAACTCAATTACTAGATTTAGCCAACATTTTAGGCTTCTACTCTGTTTTATTTGTTTGATATTGCTGTTTTGGGGGTGCTGATGATGGAATCCAGAACTCTGTGCACGCTAAGCACCCCGAGCCTTCTAGTCTATGTTTCCAGTCTTTAATAATTTTTTTAATCTTTTATTTGTTTGGTACATGGTCTTGCTATGCAGCTTGGACTTGTAGTGGTCCTCTTATCTCAGTCTCCCCAGTGCTGGGGTTACAGGCATGTGCCACCATGTCTGGTTTTGGTGGCTGGCTCATCGTGCCTGGGGTGGGGCCGGCACAGAATGCAGTACCAGGGATCGAACTCAGGTCCTTGTGCTTGCTAGTCAGGCACTTATGCCGCTGAGCTAGCTCCCCAGGCTATGTCTCCATTCTTGAATGATGCAAATAATCTAGTTCCACATCATGTTGTTATTTTGGAATAAGCCTCAGCCTTCACACTTGCCTTTGGGTATATTAGGCATGTGCTAGAAATCATGGTACTCTGCTTTGAGCAAAGCCACACTGTAGCATACAAATGCTGGGCTCGTAGTTCTCACTGCCCCCTCAAGTGGGATGGCTGAGTCCTGGGTGATGGTATTTACAGAATGGCAAGATAAAACTTGTGCACCCTGTTAGCTGCCTGCATACCCTACTTCCTGGAGCATGGATCCTTGTGGACTCCTACCAGTCACTAGTCATGTATAATTTGCCTATTTTTTCCACAGCTTTGCTAACACGGTGCACTGTCAGCTTCTGAAACTATGTTGGGTTCTATTTTGTCTGTTATAGACAGAGAACATGCAGGCAGCACAATCAGAGGAGAGCCGATCTGAAGGGCAAGTGGGCTTCAAGGCCTACAAGAATTACTTCGCGGCAGGTGCTTCCTGGTTTATCATCATTTTCCTTACTCTGCTAAACATGGCAGCTCAGGTAAATGATACTTGTGTCTTCAGAGTGACATTTATACACTCACATTTATGCTGTGGTCATTTGCATTGAAGTGCTGTCTGGGGGACGACCAATGTGGGTGCTGCTGACTGGGGCTGCATGTATGGGACAAAGAGCTTCTAGAGAAGAAAGATATCTTGTAAAGATCTGAAGCGTGCTATGTTCCTCTCCAACCTGTGGTTGTCCGGGGAGTTGGGCTTAGCACAAACCTGAGGTAGAAGGAGCACCTTAGTTTCCTGGAACCTTCTTTTTGATTACACACTGTTGTGCTGTAGAGTTCTGAGTTGAAGTCGGGCCAATCAGTGCTGGATTATTTTGTTCCCCTTCTCCAGGTTGCCTATGTCCTTCAGGATTGGTGGCTTTCCTACTGGTGAGTTACCCCTCCTCTCACAGGAAGTGCTATGAAATCAGCTTGAAACCCCACTTTTCCACAGAGTTCAGGGGAGAGGTGGAGTTTGTTGAGCCTTCTCTTAATCTTCACTTAGTTGCCTGAAGAAAAATTAAAGTTCTTGCTGGTGGAGTGTGACCCATAATGGTCTCTACCCACGTCTGATCCTCTGCCGCATGTTGAGAACTAAAAATCGCAATTCAAATTGAATTTTTATAAGGCGGGTGTATAGAGGACTGGGAGTCATTTTCTGACATGAAACATTTTCTTCCAAATTAAGGTTCATTTGTTGTGTGTGTTTATTTAAATTCTGTCTGCAGCTTAATATGTTTTTTCCCCCCTCCCGTTCCGTAGGGCAAAGGAACAAAGTATGCTGAATGTCACTATAAACGGGGAAGGAAATGTAACAGAGAAGCTAGATCTTAACTGGTACTTAGGAATTTATGCAGGTAAAGTTTAAGCATTTGGTCTATTGTATGAGGGGCTGAGATGCTTACAATGCGCCCGTGTGAGGAGCTGGGGTTTCTAGGAGTCATTCAGCAATGTCTTACCCGATTAGGAGACTGAGTCGCATTTACTCTGTGAATTAATTAGAATAATTATTTTCAAAACCTACTAGAAGAAAGAGGCTGAATGGAGACTCTTAATTTGCTCTGTATTGGATTTTGAAAGTTAAACTAGGATTGAGCATTCAGCAAATCAGCTACTGGAAATATGTGGCCATTGTCTATTCTAATAGGTTGCTTTAGCTAAATCTTATATCATTATATGACTGGGCAAGGGGATTAGAAACGGATCCCCACCCTGCAGTTTGGATTGTTCCAATTCTGTCTGAATAAAACCCTGGCTTTTATTGAACTTGGATGAAATCCTCTGGCAGCAAGGACCCCAAAATAAAAGCATTATTCCCTCCCAGGTATGCAAAGCTCCCTGCTCCACACTGCTCATCTCTCGGGCTTCACTAATTACTTAAGAGGGAAGCTAAGCGGGGAGAAACCCAGTGTCTGGGAATTAGGCCTCCTCTTTCTTACCTGGCGATCACAATGTTATCGCATCCCCAACTGTGTGATTAATTTAACATTTGGCTTGCCAGACTAATATTAACACTTCATTCTGTTTTCACAAGAGTGCTTGGAATGTATGTAGCATTGCATACTTTTTAAAGGAAATCCTCATCTAAAATTTTAAATATATCCCCAGGAAACACTCAGAGACGCTTTCTTCAGAGGTAGAGTGAGTTAGCTTTGTAAGAACCCACTCACTGAAATTTGGCATTTTGTTGATTTCTTGCTAAGAAATCCAGATCCATTAGCAGTTCACTATCAAAGTTGGTGGATGAACTAAAACCTACAGGAGAAAGGCACAGGGTTCTGTCATGTATTCAACTAGGGCTAAGAAAAATGTCTGTTAGTGGAGCTGCAGAATTTGGGCAGCTTTCAGAAGTTAAATAATAGTGCTGTGTTGTTACAAGAGGAAAGATTTATTCCTGAAGTTATCCCCTTCTAGCAGCACTGTGAATTAAAAGGTATTAGGAAAGCAGGGAAGGAGGGCATATTGCTCAAAGGTAGGGCCCTTGCCTGGCGTGCTTGAGGCCCTGGGATTGATACCTACCCCGCCCCCCACAACCACCACTACATACATGCATGCATGCAGGAGACACAGAGGGAGAGTTTGACTGAATGTGCATAGTGGGTACTCATGTATATTTTAATAAAATATATAATTTATTAAAATACTTTGTGTTTCTGTAAATCAGTGGCAGTTTAGTTGCTTATTGAAATTATCTTATGTGAAATATAACTTGGTTTTTTTTTGCACTCCAACTACTTAAGAGCTTTTCCATGTACAACTTAATGTGATATTTTCAAATTCCTTAAAGCTCCTTGGGCATTTTCTACAAGGAAAAGGTAAATAATTTCTGCTATCCCCTGTTACTGTTCCATGTGAGTACCAAAACATACTGGATACTAGATGGTGGGACGTATTGTAAGTCATAAGATGTAGAGTGTGGAGAAGGGGAGGCTCAACTGCTTATCAATGATTATCCTCTAGGTTTTTAGGCGAACTTGTAAATAAATTAGGAAAGCTTAAGATGCAATTGTAGTTTATACTCCTTCTTCCCCCATGTAGTTTTTAAGAGAAAAATAGACTTTTTTGATTCTTCTTGTCAATGTGTCCTGTCCACACATTACTCTTTTGTGCTAATTTTTATACACTGCCTGACCTGCTTTAGCAGCCTGGAAAATGCAAGGATGCTGTTTTCTTGACTGATGTTCCTTTTTTTTTTTTTTTTTTTTTTTTAATAAGGGTTTTTTTTTTTTCTTCCTCGAATGCCTTCAGGGCACTTTTGGCCAGCTGGAGAGTGGTAAATTTGTCATGCAAGTACTGGAGACTTAGTCTCTCTCATTTTAAGATCTCACTTTTTTTTTTTTTTTTTTTCAGGTTTGACTGTAGCCACCGTCCTTTTTGGCATAGCAAGATGCCTGTTGATGTTCTATGTCCTTGTTAATGCTTCGCAAACTTTGCACAACAAAATGTTCGAGTCAATCCTGAAAGCTCCAGTTTTGTTCTTCGATAGAAATCCAATAGGTAGGTCAGATGCTATGTTTCTCGGAGTCTGGTTAACACAGTGAGATCCTGTGACACTGTAGGCTTTGAAAATGGAGGTGTCACTGAAGGAAATCTCTGTGTGTGGATTGTTTTCTACAAACAGCTTCACTGATATTTCCTCTACGAGAGGAAATGGAAATACCGGCGACTTTCAGCCTGCATTTCGGTGTGTAGGTGTGTGGAACGATAAGTGGGTGTTCGCTTGGCAGAGTGATGTAGGAGGGCATTGGCTGCATGGTGTCTGAAGCGTCTGGCTCCCACGCAGATGTGTTTAGATGCATTCAGTCGGTCGCTCAAACAGAGTGTGCTCACACTACACTAGCCAAGACCCTTTCTGGGAGGGTCTCCTGAGAGGCAGCGCTCTCTGAACATGTGACTGGCTGTGTGTTCTTCTTGCCTTGGGAACCCACCCACTTTTGCTTACGGTCCCTGAGCTTTTTTTTTTTAATTTATTGAGAAGGAAAGAGCAATGAGACAGTATCAAAACAGGTCAGTAGGACAGTTATAATAATCAATACATTGCATATTTTTGTCTTCATAGTGATTATTTGTAGTACAAGATGCAGACATGGTATTTTGTCTAAACACTATTAGTACAAATCTTCTCATTGAACTAAGAGAAAGTAGCTGTATGTCTATCCTAATTTGTATATACAGACATCTATATCTGTCTGTCTATCTATCTTACTACAAAATGGTCCTTCATTTATATCCCCCTTGTTGATTAGTTTTGTCAGAGATGGGTATTCCATTGCCATTCAAATATTGTAGGTAACATGCTGAGCTGTAAAAGGCTCAAGTCCCTGAGCTTTTGAATAGGTTTACCTGAAATGGTAATGAAGAGTTAACAAAAACCTGAGGTTGATGAAATGTAAACACATCCTTAAGGAAAGTTTTAAATTCTGTGTTTTTAAAAACTCTTTCCTCTTTTTTGCTTTTGGTACTTGTTACCATCAGCGGTGAGCATCTGTTAGCTCTGTGGTCCCAAATTGGGCTTCTCGTGCGTATAGAGGCTTTACAGTCCCCAGGTGGAAAGCCGGTAGCCCGTGTCCCCAGGGGAACTCACCTGTTGGTCTTGCTCCGAGTGCTGGAAGCCTTTGCCCCATTCCCCTTCGATGTGTCTTGGCTTCTCAAAGGTGGGCTCCTTGCTTGGCTCCTGAGAAGAGAACCCAAGTCGTCACTACATGTCCTGCCCTGGTCAGTTGGGTGGCCATGTGGTAAGACCCAGAGTGGCTTTGCAAATGCAGGTGGTCATTGAAAGAACTTATGGGGGTGCAGCAGTGGGCACAGGAAGCATGGGATTAACTGCAGTGTGGCCAGGGACTGGCTGCGAGACCAAGACCAAAGCACCTGGACACCATCAGGCAGCAAATCCCAAGGTAGGGTGTGCTATGGACTCTGGAGCCAGCTGTCTGGGTCGAGGCTTAGCCCTGGTACCTAAAGTAATAGCTGGCTGTGATTATGTTAGCACTTGTGTGTAGTTACTTAACTTCTCTCTGCCTCAGTCTGTTCTTATCCGTGAAAAGGGAATGCCATTCTTGCCTGCTTAAGGAAATAGCAGGTTAATGTACACCCAGGTCCTTGCCCAGCTAATGTTGGCAAAAGTAGCTGAAGTCTCTGAACTCCACAGTGCTTACCTGTGGGGTGGAAATGACTCCACCCTTCCTCTTTCATATGGTTGTTGTGAAGATTAAATAGAACTGAAAGCATCATGAATAGATTTACCCAAGGAATGTTTAGCCGGGGCACCGTGTGAAGTTTATGAACTGCAGAGACAACATAACATGACCTGACTGCAGCTGTAGTTAAAGAGTGCCTGGGTGATAGCTATACCATCAGGGCTGTAGAACTGCTCCACTATGCCAGTGAGTTGGAAGACTACAGACAGAAAGAGTGGAGCGTAGGTGGTCTGCACGCTGTGGTCAGGAGCTTCAGAATGCAACAGACAATGGTTAACAGGCCCTTCCTGGTCAAGACCCAAGTCTTTTCTTTAGGATGCTTTGTATCGTCAGTGAATTAGGTGCCTGTATGAATATTCTAGGGCAGGTCTTGTTTGCCCAGTATGCTTGGAAGTCATAAATTAGTTAACTTTTGTGGTAGATTTAAAAGAAATGAAAATTGTTTTTTATATTTCTTTTTACTTGGATGAAATGCTTGTACTTTTGTCGATGACGGACACACCAAAGCTAAATTGTACCCAATAGTTTATATTATTAGTTTGCATACTGTTCTGCTTCTAGAATATTTGTTTAAAAACCTCACCTGTGGGGTAGCAAGGTGGCATGCTCTGTCTTTCAGTACTCTTCAGTGTGCATGTTAAGTGTGTAGGAGTCACCCCCTTCCTACCTGATTTCCTGCTGAGTTACTGTGCATGTTCTCTTCTCGGCATAGGGAGACAAGAAACACAGCTGCTTTCTTCTTAGTACTAAGTTCAGAGCAAGCTCTCAAGGGAGCCAGGGGTGAGAGTTTCCTATGAGCAGCCCCTTGACATCCTCCCAGGGAACAGGAAGAACCCTTGCCCGATGTAGTGTCCAGGAAGCCAGGTGCAGGCTGAGGAGTGGCGGCAAAGCCAAGTGCCAGCTGGAGCTCCACTCGGTTTGCCCCCGCAGGACCCCCAGCTTGGGCTCTAGGCCCAGCTAGACAGAGTGTCCTTCCCCGCCCTGCTGCAGGTCCCACTTGGGCTGGGTTGTTCTCAGCCACCCTGCCCCGGAAGGTAGGAGTATCTTTTCCACCATCCATAAGTGCAGCCCATGATGCTGGCCGCCTCCTGCCCCTTCCTCGACCCTCAGCCCTGTTGCTAATCAATGACAGATCCCATGTATTTTGTTTGTTTGGCTGGCTTTTTGAGACAGGGTCTTGCTATGTTGTGCAGGCTTGCCTTAAAGTCACAGCGTAGGCCAGGCTGGCCTGGAACTCTCTGTGATCCTCCTGCCTCAGCCTCCTGAGTCTTGAGATTACAGGTGTGTGCCACCACATCCAGGCCTGGTGTACTTTGGTAATGGTTTATGTGTGTCTTACAGACACATTTTCAGCAGTGTCCACACTTTCTCCACGATTCGTTCATGTCCTCATTTGAATACTGCATTTCACACATTATCTGATGCTGTTAGCTCCATCTGCCTCTTTCTTGGCAAAATCTGTCTTTACTCTTAGCCTGTTGCAGTTTAGTCAGACCTAAATTAACGGGTCACACAAATCCCTGGTCAACAGTAAGTCATTCAGAATTTAAGAGCTGCTTGCTTTTTTCAATGGAAATCAGGTTCGCCTTGCATGGGCCAGATCCCTTGCTACTTTTTAATTCGGCACAAGGAGGCAGCAGGCTCTGCGGAATGCGGGGACAGTCAGCACACGCCTGGGAAAACCCGGGTTTGATTTGAAACCTTTCGGGGTAATCCTGTTTTTATGGCGTGGGTGTTTGTACCTTGATATGTACTGACAGGGACTTTTAAACGCATTTTCTGTTATTTTTTGAAACACTAGACTGTATTAAGGAAATAGTAAGATGTTGCCCAGGAAAGCCTCGCATTTCAGCAGAGGGCATTTGGATCCCACTTCGTCCTGTAGAAACTGGAATAGGCAGACAGAACTTCTTGGCTGGCTGCATTTGAATTCCTAAAAGATAGATTCTGGCTGCTCATACGACCTCATTGTATTTCCATCGAAATGTGAGTTTAGGGAGAAAGAGAGCCACGGTTTGTTAGGTTTTCCTCTATACCGTGAGGGCCAGTGGAGCCCTTGTATTGCTTCCCATTTCTCATCCCCCTCAGCCTTCATTTGGTGACCAGACCAGTGGCTGGTTGTCCTGTCTTCTGATGCCTAAGTATGGTGACATAAAATGCAGCCAGCTGTGCTGGTCTTAGTGGGTTCCAGATAAATCTTCCTTTGCTTTCAGCATTTTCAAATTTGGTTTTAAGAAACTGAGGCACTGGTGTCGGTAGAGGTGTTTGTTTAATCTCTCGAGAGGTACACAGCTGAGCTTGGGTTGTAGCCTGTTTTGTTCATTCACACAGTTTATCAGCAGTGTGTGTGCATGTTCGCTTATGCATTCCACGGGGTAAAAAAGCAGACTTCTATATCATTATCTTTTCTTTATGGTTTGATTTAGGTGAGAACTAAGACCCTAGAAAATGGGGGGGGGGACACCCTCACTTCTGTTGTATTTTAATTTTTTTTTCCTGGAAGGTACTTGTTGTCCCTAAGGTGTGGAGTACAAGCAGAAGTAGCCCTAGATTTTTGAGGCAGACATTCTCATAGCCTCCTTAGTGAAAAATCTGGAGTGGCTCTAATGCCACGTTCCAGCTCCACTGGAGTAAATTAGCCTCTGTAGGTGACCTCCCGAATGTAAAATATCCTCAGTCAGAATGTGCATCTTCCAGGGGGCTGGGAGGAGGAGGGGGAACCATTGTTCCCTTTCTGTAACTCAGAAAGGACTCCTGAATTCCCTGCAAACAACTTGCAAAAAAAAAAAAAAAAAAAAAAAAAGTGAATTAAAAGTAACATGGTAAGTGTTTGGTGTTATCAGAAAAACACTCTTGCTCTACCGCTTAGAAAATCAGTTGTCGACATACAGCAGCCTTGCCGGAAAAGAAAAGTCATCAATAGAGAAGAACTCTAACTGCAGGGATGCCTCTCTGTTTATTCAGTTCAAATGACCACTGGAGTTTGTGCTAAATGCATATTTTAACAAGTGTAATATTTCAGCGCTGTCAAAATTACCTCGACAATAATAGGCCTGTTAAATTATAGCTCTATAAGTTCGCAGGTAAAATGGCCCTGCTTAGCACACGTTAATCTATGCCTGTTCACACAAGTGCTTGCGCTGAGCAGGTAGCATGTTTGAACAAGAAATACTGGTCTTAAAACCTCTGATTTATGGTAGGTGTTGTTTTGACGCAGCGTCATTCAGACGATTTACAAGGCAAGGCTTCACGTTAAAATATCTCACCAGTGTCATCATTCGTCACTGACATAAATATTCA